AATATTTACAGACAGTACACACAACAAAGGTTTGCAATAGTTTCAAAAGAATGGCAATTTTAAATTAAAATAAGAAAAAAGAAAATCGTTGAAATAGGATTCGATAACTACCTGTTAACGTCTACATTCTTCTAGTGAAACTCATTTACCAACTGCGCTAAGAGGGGCTTATAATTTGTACCATTTTAACAATTGTATTTTTACATTCATATCGATTTACAAGTATAGATCGTAACGTTTACGGAATATACCGACTACAGGGTCAAATTCAAGAGTGCCAGGTCAATGTTGTTGGACAATACGTGTTGTAAACCTGAGCGTGTCAAGTTGATACAGTTACATTCTCAACGTCATGATGCGCAACATTAAACGTATTGTATACGTTCTATCGTTTACATTTCTACATGTCGCAAATTTGAAGTTATACATTAATTTTTATAAATACAGTTTGCAATTTATCTAAGTTGCATGTTTACAGCTTCCATTTTATCAAATCAAGATAATCAAAATGCTTAATACCAGTGAAGTATGTAACTCTCGGATCAACAATTAGATTTTTACTAATCTGTTTAGTAGAACCAAAGTATGCATTGTCATTTTTCAAAGGCTGGATATTTGGCAACAAATAGCCTCCATAAAAGGCAGGTAAAGGCATCTTAACCTCTTCAAAGTTAAACATGAAAAATAATACTGTAGCAGCAGTTTCTAAATGCAACAGGAGTAGGTGTAAGACATGTCCTTCTTTGATACAAGGGAATGAAATTCAATTATTCAATTTTGTAACAGTTAGACATTTAAAATCAAACAAAGTGTGAACTGTGTTTCAAATATATTTATTTATATATTCAATAATTTATGACAACTGTAAATAGTTTTATATTGGCCAAACAAAAATGAATTATGTAAACGTATGACTTAACATAGGGAACAAACAAACACAGAAGAACTCAGAAAGTTGCAAGTCGATAAACACTTACATAAATGTTCAACCGGCGGCGACCTTAAATAAACGCATCAAAAAAAAAAAAAAAAACATTATTCAGTCTGCAGAGAAATTTACCGGGACCAGGTCATTCTATGTAACTGAAGCCTCGCTTCATACATAGAGGAAAATTACGTCTATCTTATTGAAGCCTAGCTTCATAGGTAGAGAAGAATAATAAGCCAAAGTAAATATTTCCAACTGAAGCCTCGCTTCATGGATATAGTGTCGTTATAGTTTAGTTGTGAAATTGTATTTGACTCTAGGTACTTATAGATTTCCATATTTTCTGAAAGCCTCGCTATCAGGGAATTGGTAACATATAGGGAGGTAGACTTAAAACGAATAAGCTTTGTATAGTTGTAACTTTGTTGTAAATTCCTTCCAGCAGCTTATCTTTCTATCTAAATAGAAGCCTCGCTTCATAGATAGAGAGGTAGTTGCTGGACTATAGGAAATTATCGGGTTGCAGCGTGATATCTATAGTTTTCAATAATTTTATAGTGTTATATTGTAAACATATTTACTATATTGAGACGTTTTGAGAATTTAATAGTGTATTACGGAATATTAATTCAAGCTGATTGTTTATAATATTTGATCGTTTAAGAATCATTTGTATCTAATCAAACGGCAGGTAGCCCAAAGAAAAATTTGTTATATATTCGTTGTACATCCGCTCGGTACACGTTACAATATTAAGCGAAAGTGACTTTCTTAGAGAAGAAAAAGAAAAGCTTCTTATCAAGTTATTAAAACCACAGCTTATTGCTCACTGATGATATATGTTTAATAAGTCATTTATATACTCGGTTCCAAAAGAAAATGTGCACCTCTTAATATTGAATATTTAGAAAATTAGCAGACGTTTCTTTTGCAAATTTGGCATTGTTTGTCCTAAGTACACAATACATCGATCCAATATAAAACCTGTCCCTTGCTGGCACGGAATTTTCACTTTTTATGGCAATACATAATAGAGCTTGATTTGCACGTACAGTCCGAGGCGAAGGTACATGTCACAGAAAATGTGTATAGACATAATCCTTATACCCACTATATAGGGAAAAACACATTTGATTCCACAGCGCTTGTGACTGAACATGCTAAGACTGAATCAAAATTAGCGAATTCAAGCATTAACGATGCTTGCTCGTGGCGACAACGTCTTCAACGTCAGTAGAGCATTCAGTTGTCACAGAAACACAATATTTCAGTCGTGCCAGCGTTTCCAGCTAACAGGTGGGGTAGCAGATCGCCGTAGACCCGGTAGACCGAGGGCTACAAACCCTCGAACGGACAGATTCATTACGTTGACGCACCTTCGACGTCGTTTTAAAACGGCGCCAAGTTCTGCAAGGGAGTATGGTATCAGCAAACAGACTGTGTTGCGCCGCCTCAGGCAAGCCCGGCCACCCATTCGGCCAAGGAGGCCCTATGTGGGACAAGTACTTACAGCACGTCATCGGACTGCAGTGGGCACAACGGCATTTCCGTTGGGGGCGACAGCAGTGGGCTCTGGTTCTATTCTTAGATGAGTCTAGGTTTAACTTTAGTCATCATGACGGTCAAATTTGAGTTTTTAGAAGAAAAGGGGAATGTTTTGCTGATAATTGTGTTATTGAGAGGGACCGATTTGGAGGTGGGAGTGTTATGGTATGGGTGGCATTATGGGCAGAAGGAAAACAAATTTCATTGTTGTGAAATGTAGTCTCAATGCTCAATGTTACATTAACCAGATTCTGCAGTCTGAAACTGTTCCTTTCCTTCAAAGGCATGGGCCTGCAATATTGATGCATGATAATGCAATGCTTCATGGTGCAAGGATATGTCGGCAGTTTCTAAACAGAAATAATGTTAACGTACTACCTTGGCCTGCCGTGTCACCGGATATGAAGTTCGAGTTAGAGGGAACGTACACAATCTTAGGGATCTTATGAACGCCTTATTTCAAGAATTGAATTACATTCCCAACTACTTAATCAGACGTTACGTAAGGTCAATGCGAGGTCGCGTTGCTGCTTGCATTAATAGTCGAGGTGGCCACACTCGATACTGACTACAGTTAACATCGAATTTCCAATTTCATCAGAATGAAATGATGAATTGTGGAAATTGCTAACTTCAGAGTAATCTGGCAACTTTCATTTTCTTACCTAGTCCATTCTCGAGACAAAATCGTATCCTAATGACACCGGAATTTAAAGCTTAAAGTCACATGTTCTGATCTTGATTTTGGTACCAAATACGTGGACATAAAGCATAATGGGCAATGGAAAATCGCCGAAAACAAAGTGCACACTTTTTTTTGGAACCTAGTATATATAAGCACATCATATTTATTACAATTTCTTCATTTTTAATTATAAAAGAAACGCTTGCGTTTTTACTTAGTCATATTGTTCGTTTATTAACCAATATTTATTCAGTAAAAATTACCATACAATTTGTGGCCATAAAATAATTAACATGTGAACTTTATTACCTCCCTTTAATAAATGTCCAGATTGTACGGATCTACATGCTAAATGTCCATACTGAATATATTATAGTTTTACGGTATTAATAACCATATTGTGTTTGCCTGGAAATACATTATTATTTAACGGGCCCGCTTTTTTATGAGGTTACGTCATTTGTTTATATGTTTATTATTTTTTAAAGTCTCGAATGAAGATATGCGAAGAAAGCATTGAAAGCGGTACCGAATATATTTTAAACATAATTATTTTATCTATTTCAACACTCCACAAGGAACATTTATCACGTTTTAATATTAATATATATTTATTTAATTTTACCCATGAAATATGGTGCTATATCATTCAAATATATTTCATATTTTTAAAAATAAATATGAAATATAAATATGAAAGAGGGCAGAGTCAAAACTCATATTTATTTTAAGGGACTTCTTTTGCCATTTTGTTTGAAAAATCTGATAAATACAAACCAACTTTTTGTTGAATTTCGTTTTGAAAACTATCTAAAAAATTTGAAAATGGTCTAACTAAGTAAATAAATCCGAACACCAATATCTTAATTCTGTCATTAACGCTGTACATGCGTTTAAAAAGAGTTGTTTACGTGACGTCACAATGTATCTATAATACTGCTTGCTGAACAATTGCAATTGCGTAGCAAGCAAGGGGGTTCGTAACCATTTTCTTTGATAGTAAAATTAAATAAAAAGGTTACTTTTCGTTTTTCGTGAAATATGGTATACATTTTCACTCAAAATGATAAAATGCCACATATTTTCACTCGCCGTCCCGGCTCGTGAGAATATGTGGCAATTTATCATGCTTCGTGAAAATATATTCCATAGTTCACTCAAACAAAAAAATATCCTCTTAATATTATATATATCACCAACTTTGACCCTAGGGCTTTTATTTGAACAACATTCGTAGACACTCACTACAAGATGTTTCATGCTTAATATCTAAGCTCTAGTTTTTTTTGTTTTTTTAAAAGAAGTTTTTAATATATAAATATAAGGAAAGTAAATGACCCCCTAGGGCAGGCAAATTTTGACCCTAGGCCTTTTATTTCAACAAACTTAGTAGAGAATTTGCTTAATTTCTACTCTCTAGCTCTTTGTTTTTTTTTGTTGTTTTTTTTGTAAAAGAAATTATTTAGTTTTCCATGGAATTAAATTGTTTGATCAATTTTTAAAAGTGAACATCAAATGAACATTTCTGTGAAGTTTTGGGAGATGTCCCTTAAAACAAAAGTTTACGGCGAACGCGAACGAAAAGTTATCACAAAAGCTCACCATGTCACTTTGTGACAGGTAAGCTAATGAAAATCACAAGAAAAATAAGCAAAACAATTGCGTACAAGGGACGGGTATTAAAATACATAGTGCATATTGCTGAGAAGGACTTGCCTGAGGGGGCATTTCTTTTGTTATTTTCTTTTGTTAAATAGAAGGCCATGGCCCCTCATTTTATTGTTATGAAATGTACTCTATTGTTCTTTTTTGTTCTGTTTACAGTTATATGGCCCCTTACTTCTCTTCAATAGCACTATAATATAGAGTAATATCCTGTTAAATGCTTATTACCTTCATTGGTCTCTTTTGTTGATTCACGATATTGCGACGTTACAAAAGTGGAATTACAAATGCATGTTCCATTTGGTCCAAGAACCCCTTTCATTGTCTGAACACGAGGTTCTAAATCACGTCGCTTTCTAGACTTGTTCCTTATCAATTCTGATGTTGTGGCATACTTTTGTGAGTTTGGGTTATCCGCTAATACATGTGTTGTAACTGTTGAACTTGGCAACAATACAGTTTGAGTTTTCTTATTCGTTGTCACGGCTTTTGATGAAGCTGAGGAATGTGATGTTGATGGACTTTCTGTCGGAGAGCCAGGGTTTCTCTGCTGCGTCAAAGAGCCAGTGCCTAATGTTGATACTGAACCGTGTGTTGATGAACTTTGCGTCAGAGAGACAGTGCCTGCTGTTGATACTGAGCCGTGTGTTGATGAACTTTGCGTCAGAGAGACAGTGCCTGCTGTTGATGCTGAACCGTGTGTTGATGAACTTTGCGTCAGAGAGACAGTGTTTGCTGTTGATACTGAACCGTGTGTTGATGAACTTTGCGTAAGAGAGATAGTGCCTGCTGTTGATAATGGTACGTGTGGCGATGCACTTTGCGTCGGAGGGCCAGTTACTGATACTGATTTTTTAGTCGAGGGTTTGTTAGTCATTGTTGTTTTTGTTACGGTTGTTGATGCTGAACCGTGTGTTGATGAACTTTGCGTCAGAGAGCCAGTGCCTGCTGTTGATACTGGACCGTGTGTTGATGAACTTTGCGTCAGAGAGACAGTGCCTGCAGTACTTGACAACAATACTGTTTGAGTTCTCTTATTCGTTGTCTCGGCTATTGATGAAGCTGAGGCCTTTGATGTTGATGGACTTTCTGTCAGAGAGCCAGGATTTGTCTTTGATGCTGGTACGAGTGTTGATTCACTTTGCGTCAAAGAGACTTGACCTTTGGTTGATACTGGTGCGTGTTTTGATGAACTTTGCGTCAGAGAGACGGTGTCTGCTGTTGATACTGAACCGTGTGTTGATGATCTTTGGGTCAGATATACAGTGCCTGCTGTTGATGCTGAACCGTGTGTTGATGAACTTTGCGTCCGAGAGACAGTGTCTGCTGTTGATACTGAACCGTGTGTTGATGAACTTTGGGTCAGATAGACAGTGCCTGCTGTTGATGCTGAACCGTGTGTTGATGAACTTTGCGTCAGAGAGACAGTGTCTGCTGTTGATACTGAACCGTGTGTTGATGAACTTTGCGTCAGAGAGACAGTGCCTGCTGTTGATACTGGTACGTGTGGCGATGCACTTTGCGTCGGAGGGCCAGTTACTGATACTGATTTTTTAGTCGAGGGTTTGTTAGTCATTGTTGTTTTTGTTACGGTTGTTGATGCTGAACCGTGTGTTGATGAACTTTGCGTCAGAGAGACAGTGTTTGCTGTTGATACTGAACCGTGTGTTGATGAACTTTGCGTCAGAGAGACAGTGCCTGCTGTTGATACTGAACCGTGTGTTGATGAACTTTGCGTCAGAGAGACAGTGTCTGCTGTTGATACTGAACCGTGTGTTGATGAACTTTGCGTCAGAGAGACAGTGTCTGCTGTTGATACTGAACCGTGTGTTGATGAACTTTGCGTCAGAGAGACAGTGCCTGCTGTTGATACTGAACCGCGTGTTGATGAACTTTGCGTCAGAGAGACAGTGTCTGCTGTTGATACTGAACCGTGTGCTGATGAACTTTGCGTCAGAGAGACAGTGCCTGCTGTTGATACTGGTACGTGTGGCGATGCACTTTGCGTCGGAGGGCCAGTTACTGATACTGATTTTTTAGGCGAGGGGTTGTTAGTCATTGTTGTTTTTGTTACGGTTGTTGATGTATTTTGCGTAAGCGAACTTGGTTTAGCTGTTCTAGTTGTTACTGTAGAAGATTGTGAAGTTGAAATAGAGAGCAGGCAATCACAACTGGTTTTAACATTTTGAGATATTATGATATGTGTCTGTAAACATAACCCTGAAAATACAAAACGGAAATTGAGTTAATTAAAAAGTGTGTGCATCAGCATTGTTTGAATGAATATGAAAGGGTTATCACATTTAAAGACGTTTTGGGCGTTTCATATGGCATATTGGCAAAATTAAAACTGTTCAAAAGAATTTCTTTAAATTTTGCATATTGTAAGACTACGATAAAACAAATATTTTAGGTGAAACAAATTTGGGGGTCACCGTTCTCATTTCTTAGTTATCTGTCCTTGAATCATATTTTTTTACTCATATGAGGTGAAATTAAGGGAAGATAACAGATAAATTTGTCTGTAAAATCTTTTTTTTTCTTCTTTTTTATGAGGCCCCATCTGGTTAACCCCCACCCAGTTATAGGTATGAGGGGATCAGGGTCATCCTTCATCATACCTTACATTGTTAATATACAAAATATATATTACATAATAATTATATTAATGTAAATATTGTCAAATACATCTACAGTAAATATTTTGTATATCAATATAAACATACATACAATAAACTCATCTATTATCCAAAAATATTTTACAAATAAAGAAATACTACTTATTATCAAACAATTAAGTAATCTGTTAAGAGGTAAAGTTCTTTTTCACATATTAAGTGTACTTTAAACAATTAAGGATCTTATAATTGCCCATTAATTTATTTTTATCATCTGTCAAATTTTGTATTTCTATAGATATTCCATACTAATTTCAAACTATCCTTAAAACCAATAGATGTAGGTAAAAAGTTTTTCTCTTAGAAAAATAAATATATCTTTTCAATTCTAGAAACAATATGTCATATTCAAAATCTTCTGAACATAACATAAAACATCATAAAAATTATGTTAGTTTTCTCTAAGGTATTGAAATAGGCTTTGAATTTTCTGACGTTCCCAAAATGATTGCTTTCTAAAATGATTCTTTACAGCATTTACAAAAAGTACACATTTTATTGTCAACAATATTTATTTTAAACAAAAGTGAATGTGTAGCTAAAGTTCTATAAATAATTCTTGTTTGGAGCCACTGAATATATGAATCTTTAGAACATTTGAAAACATAACTATATATTAATTGCCAATTAATGTTACTGTCTTTAAAACATGTGTTCTCCCTTTCTTGACTTGTAGGTATGTCTGAATTTTTAGCTATAATTTCATAAACATATTGCTTATTGTTATTCATAGTTCAAAAAGGTTTAAAATTACAATTTATTGTAGGATACTGAACATTAAGCATACTGTTACTAAAAAAATATTAAACTTTTGCATGTACAATTTAATTGCCTGTTTTAAACTATTTACTGTAAAAAGTTCACGGGTTTGCCTGTGACCTGTTCTGAATATATCAAATCTACAAAGTTACCCTTTTCAATTATAATATCTTTTTCAAATCTGATCCCTTTATTATATAACGTCTGAATGTAAATATATCTTTTTCCTGCTAAAAAGTTGTGATTGTAAAAAGGGGCATATGTTATACTTGCGTTATATTATCTATACAAAGTTTATCTACAAACACCATATAAGCTTTTAAAACATCAATCCCGAAAGAATTTGTAATTTTAGCAATAATCGAATTACAAAACATCTTGTTAAAAATTTTATCAATATTAAACTAGAACTGCCACTATAATGGCGTGAATACCCCCGCATACCACTTTGTCAGAATTAACAGTGGCCATTTAGAGCTCAAGGACAACCTCCCTGCCAAATTTGAGGTTACTAAGTCAGTGCATTGCTAAGTTATGTATTCTACATGCTTCAAATGTGAAAATATCAAAATAGATACACTGCGGGCAGGCATTCTTAAGCAATTGACGGAAAAAGCTTTATTTTTATCAAGGTCCCTGTGACCTTGACCTTTGACCCAGTGACCTCAAAATCAATAGGGGTCACCTTCTGGTCATGATCAACCTCCATGCCAAATATGAATACTGTGGGTCAAAGGAATCTTAAGTTAATGGGCGTCAAACATTTTGAAGTCAAATTCCATGTGACCTTGACCTTTGACCCAGTGATCTTAAAATCAATAGGGGTCACCTTATAATCATGATTAACCTCCATGCCAAATATGAAGACTGTGGGTCAAAGGAATCTTAAGTTATTGGGCGGACAATCTTTTTTAGTCAAGGCCCCTGTGACCTTGACCTTTGACCCAGTGTCCTAAAAATCAAAAGGAATCATCTACTTATCATGACTAACCACCATGCCACATATGAAGACTATGGGTCAAAGGTTTCTTAAGTTATTGGGCGAACAAACTTTTTAAAGTCAAAGTCCCTGTGACTTTGGCCTTTGACCTGGTGACCTAAAAATCAATAGGGGTCATTTACTAATCATGACTAACTTCCATGCCAAATATGAAGACTATGGGTCAAAGGTTTCTTAAGTTATTGGGCGGACAAACTTTTTAAAGTCAAGGCCCCTGAGACCTTGATCTTTGACCTGGTGACCTCAAAATCAATAGGGGTCATCTACTAATCATGACTTACCTCCATACCAAATATGAAGACTGTGGGTCAAAGGAATCTTAAGTTATTGGGCCGACAAGAAAAAACCGACAGACAGCCGGACGGACAAGCTGATTCCAGTATACCCCCTTACAACTTTGTTGTGCGGGGGTATAACAATGTGTTTACTAGCTTATAACATTTACTTTTGCCATTACTAACACAACTTTTAAACCATTTTATTTTTAAACTATGTATATAACTGTAAATATCAACCATGTTTAAACAATCTTCTTTGTATGTTTTAATAAGTACTGATAGTTTTACTTTGTGCCTTGCCATCCCAAAGGAAATCATAAAATAAGTCATTTATTGTTTTCAAAAAACAGTATTTGGTGTTGATAGGTTTGTGAAAAAGTGAGTAAATGAAGGAAGCAATATTGACTAAATGACAGCAATTTTTCCTAGGAGTTAATATTCTCTTTTTCCAGTGAATGATACTATTCTTTACTTTTTGAAGTTTTTCATTAAAATTTAAATCGATCATTTTTTCTAAATCAACATCAAATACTAGTATTAAACCTAACAATTTGATCTGTGTATCACCCCGTGTTAATTTCCATCTTGTCTTAATTGACCTAGTAATATATTTAGGAGAGCCTACCCAAATAACCTTACTTTTGTCAAAATTTATCTTTAATCGAGAAATTTCTGTAAACTTACTTAAAAACTTTAAGGCAGTATTAAAAGATTTTTCTGAACCATCTAATAGAAGTGATGTATCATCTGCAAACTGATGAAATTTTAGATTCTTCCTCATCTATAATTATGCTTTTAACATCCTTACACTGTCTTATTTTACTGCTAATATCTCTGCACATAATATGAAAATATACGGTGAAATTGGATCGCCTTGCCTACAACCTTGTCTAACTTTAAAAAATGGATACAAAACACATTTAATATGACAGAAGTTTCAGTATTGTATAAAAACAGAGATATCCATTTCCTAAACATAGGACCAAAACAAAATAGCGAGAGACATTTCTCAATAAATGTAAAAGACAGAGTATCAAAAACTTTTCAAAATCTATCATCATTACTAAATATGTCAGTAAATTTCATTATATCATATGATAATCTAGTATTCTCACCAATATTTCTATTCTTAAAAAATCCAGTTTGTTCTTTTGACACTAAAATATCTTAAACAGTTTTCAATCTGTTTGCTATACTACCGGAAGCTAATTTATATACAAAATTTAATAAGGGGATTGTTATCCATTTTTAAAAAAAATGTTTTGGCCTGTTTTCTTTCGGAATACATGTTATCGTTCCTAATTTCTGATTTCTAGAAAATGAATTTACATTATATGCATAATTAATAGCTTTCACAACAAAATGTCCAATTCTATTCCAAAATGTTTTTAAAAAGTTAACTGTAAATCCATCACATCCAGGACTTTTATCATTTTTCATATTTTTTCATGTAAAAGAGACTTCATCGTACGAAAGGAGACCTTCTAGTTTAGCTGATTGATCCTTAGACAACATAGTAATATGACAATTCTCTAATTCTTTATCAATATCAGAGTCATCAGTTAAAATAACACTTTTATACAAATTTTCATAATAAGAACAAGTTTCTGTAAGTATATCTTTTTGATCATATATAAAAGTTCCATCATCAAGTTCTAGGAAAGGAACTGTTTTAGTTAAACAATGTGATTTTTCTAAATTAAAAAAAAGTTAGTAGGGTTTTCTCCTAACTCAATCCACTGTGACCTAGACCTGATCATAGCACTTTTAATTTTACTGCATTTAAGTTCATCCATGTAAAAGTTTGTCTTTATTTTCAATTGCTAAATTTTTGTTCAATATGAATAATTTCTTCCATTAGTTGTTTTTCATAAACATTTCTTTCCTTTGCCTGAAATGAGCTATAAGAAATTGTTTTACCTCTGATTTCTATTTAAAGTGTTTCCAAGAAAAGTTCAGTATTAATAACAAAATCTATTACTGTATTTTGTATATCTAAAATATAATCTTTATTATAAACTGGTAAACAATATTGTAATTTTATTTCATCTATCTTCTTATTGATTATATCAAGGAGCTCAATGTCATGTAAAAGAGCATTATAAAATTTCCATAAACCTTTTCCATGACTAAAAGGAACAAAACAAATATCTAAATATATAATTGAATGATCATATCTATAATCAACATCTATGTCACATTTACGTACAAACTGATTTCAAGAAAAAAAAATCGAATCTTCCTTGTTTTAAAGGGTTAGTTCGTCTCCATGTATATTTTCTGACATCACAATGTAATTCTCTAAAAGGGTCTATTAGGTCTTTATCTTCAAAAGCTTATAATAAAATATTTCTAGCCTTAATATTATGAACCTTTGATTTATAATTATGGTTATCTTAGTCTGGATTCTGAGCAAGATTAAAGTCACCGCAAAAAAATAATGAATCATTATCACTAAAAGAATCTCAAACATCAAAAATATTTTTAAAGAAATTAGGACTATCA